CTTTTGCACCATGGTACCAAGGCAATTCCAGGTAAAAGCACTCCGCAATCCCACTCCGAACCTCTGGGTATTCCACTTACGGGATGTTGTGATTTGGGCTGATCAGTATGCTTGGTTCACTCGACTGTTAGGTCTGGGTTACAATCCCCTGGGGCTGTAGGCACCAGTGGCTACCTTATATACTACACAGTAGTAGCTAGAATACTCTACATGTATCTACGCTCTCAGAGAGAATGAGCAAGCCATTAGTAAGCCCCCCAGGCACACTTCGGGCTCACAAATACAACATGGGAAATTCAACACAATATCTCATTTATGTAGATTCTCCCTCGGTCAAATAGTACAGTAGATACTATGCGTGCTCGCGGTCTCAATTTAAGGCAATCCACCGAGCTGAAACGGGTGTGTGTGGAGTCGATCTGTGCTGTGCAAGACTGTTGAGGAGGAATTGAGTCCCGTTTACAAGAGCCGTTGAAACATGTGCTCGGGAAACAGACCAAAATGCTATATAATGCTAAAGACGACGAGCAGAATGCTTCACTAGCTAAGCCTAATCCGAAGAATGGCTACACCAACTAACAACTACTAACCAAATCTAACACCTTTACACCCCTTTCAAGGTCTATAATTGCCGACAAGTAGTGATGCTTGTCCAACATTACATGAATGTACTTCCAAGGACGAAGGGTTTGAACAGAGTTCTGAACACCTGAGTCGCAGTGGTTTAGATTTTAAAGCCTCACAGCTATGTACATCCAATCTCTTTGTCTGAGTCAATTCGATGTTCTCTTTGTCTGAAACTCGCTATGTATGGTGACTCTCTTTGTCTGAAACTCGCTTTGTCTGAAGCTCTCTTTGTCTGGTAACACGGTAAGGTTGTGGTTTTATGGGTGGACTTATAGTACAAATTCCAATGCCAAAACGAAACCTGTTATTATCAAACTATACTCGTTATGTGAGTTAGCCTTAGTTGAACAAGCCCTAGAATTCCCCTGGTACGCGGTGCTTTATTGCTACCTGCTCTTTTAGGGAGGATCCAGTGCCTATCCTACTAATTCTACCCTCCTTTTATACCTATCCTAAACATATTACATGTGCGCTATTATGCTACTGCGGATATCTATCCGAGAATTATTAAGTACAGTAGTGTCAGCTCGATACATTTTTGCAGACCAAAACATTATCCCAACCCCTAGCAGCTATTCAGTTATGGAACAGGTTGTTAGACCGGTTCCTAATTTGATCACCCAGTTAGTAAGCTCTTTCTTTTGAGCCTTGGGCCAGTAGCTGGTAATGTCCCCAAGGGTTGGAACCTTATCTTGAAATGCTCAGAGCTCATCTTCCTGTGGACACCTTGAACTCCCAATTTGGTGAGTTAGTTCGCAAGTTAGACTCACATCATCAATATTGTGCCTATTTATAAGTGACACTTGATCGGTGTATTGCCAAGGCCTTTGGGCTGTTCAGCCGTCTTAGCTGGTAACGAGTACCTTGTCTAAGACCTGGTCTCATCATGTGACGGAACACATCACATCTTGGTTGTAAACAATATCCAACAAGTCAAAAGGTCCGTCTAAGGCGAGTTCCCTTTAGACCAATAATAACAGAGTGCATATTAAACTTATCCCATAGTAAAGTAGAACCCCAAGGCTTCTGAACCATTATCCAGCCTTGCCCAAGCAGTACCCGCTGCCGATCCCTTATCCAGTATGTGCATTTCCTGATAAGTGAGCCACGAACGGGTTGTGGCTTATAGCCTTGGCATGTCTTTTGACTAACCGTGCGGGATACATGTTAGTCCTTAGTTGGATCATGCACATAGTTAAAATACCGAAAAACACTTTATTTCAGCGTGTTTCATTCATGGCTTATCATCTCCCCCAAATTTGAAATATTGACTGCCCCCAGTCAACCTATTGCTCTGTTTTATTATTTAGCTTGGAATTTTCCAGCTTCTCCCCGGCTGACTTGTCTGAATTGAGCTTGGCTACGCGTTAAAAGCCATTGTTTGGCTAAGCTTAATGATTTGTATCACTGCGTATTAGATCTGAGTCCAAAGCTTGCAGCAGAACCAACTGGGCCAAAAGGCCATTGTAATTGGTTGAAGACCGATTGACCGCTTTGGACTATATATAGCTGATTGAACACATTTGCATGCATTTAACACCGCGCCAAGTCACATGTCATGTTTATCCGACAACTCCGCGTCCGCAGAAGCAAATAGGCGCCCACATCAAGACTTTGATCGGGGTCTTGATTAAGTGGTTTCTGAAGAAAAAGGTGGTGTTTGTTGTTGGCGAAAGAAAAACCAGGCAAGAAGAATTGTACGTTCAACGTAGGTGTATTTGGTGACTTTCTTGGTCTTTGAGGCGACCATGGTATCGCAGCGAGTTTGGAAGGAGCACTGAGGAAACGCAGATGGCTCTGAATGGGATGTCCCAGCATTCGAGTGGGAAGTGGGAAGTCCCAGCAAAAGGGATGTCCCACTGCGCCGCAGGCGGAGAAAATTTTTGATGAATGTCACGCTTGACAGCCCATCTGACAGCTTGTTTGGCCTCAGATCAGAGAATCAAAAGGGGTATATCGGAACGATCTGTGGACCGTTTTGGCTGGGAGTAGGCTCATTTGAAAGCCCATTGGGTGGACGTTCTGTGGGCATGGTATGGGCCGCATCGGAGTATATCAAATTTCCACTGTACAGGGGGATCAGCTGGACAAAAATTGCTCTAGCGGGGGCATACGTGCACCAATTGGGCTGGGAGTGGGCCCATTAGAACCACACACCTCAAGGCTACCACTGGGCACAATATTAGGGGTATCTGAGCACTTTCATTTTCCACTTTCATTTTGGCACCCAGCACCGAAATCACTCTAGCGGGGGCATACATGCACTGATTGGGCTGAGGGTGGGCCCATTAGAACCGCATACCTCAAGGCTATCGCTGGGTGCAATATCAGGGGTATCTGCACACTTTTGTTTTTTGGCCCCCCAGCACCGAAATGGCTGTAGCAGGGGCATACGTTCACCGATTGGGCGGGGGGTGGGCCCGTTAGGGTGGTATACCTCAAGGCTATTGCTTGGGTGCAATATCAGGGGTATCTGCGCACTTTTGTTTTTCGGCCCCCAGCACCAAAATGGCTGTAGCAGGGGCATACATTCACCAATTGCACCGGGGGTGGGTTTGTTAAGGTGGTTAACCACTCAAATTTTCCTGAACTAGTGGGACATCCCACTATTATTTTCGTATGGGACGTCCCACAACACTCATGATGTGGGACATCCCATTTTTTTCACCCTATGGGACGTCCCACACCTATCTCCCATGGGACATCCCACACACTTTTATTTTTCTATCTGTGGGACGTCCCATCGTATTAACCACAATGGGATGTCCCATTCTTATTTTCATCATGGGAAGTCCCACTTCTCAATGGGATGTCCCACTCCCACTAACTAAGTCTAAGTTCACTCTAGTTCCATTCAGAGTATACATTATTACTGTCTGAGTTACACTGAGTCTCAGTGCTTATCCTTCCGACTTCAAATCTTCCACATATCCAAATACAGAACTCAACGCCAACACCCATATCAGGCGATTTTGACTCAACACCCGTGGCCTAAATAGGAAGGTTGGACCACCTGCTAATCCCACATAACAAATCATATTAGACCACAATTGTCCCCCCTAATTGTGGTCCAAGTAAGACCCCCGCAGGTCAATGTCCCCCCTCAGGGAACCCAAGAGGGACCCAGGGGAGACATGGGGGACACGTTTACCCTTTCACAGGGGACATTTACCTAGTAGAGGTAGACAGGGAGACATCGATACCCGTTAACCGTCACAGGTAGACAAAGGGAGACATTGATACCCATTGTCCGCCGTAGGGTAGACACGCAACCCTAAGGGAGACATGCTTGCAGGATAACCATTGTAGGGTAGACATGCCACACTAAGGGAGACATGCATGCAGGATAACCATCGTAGGGTAGACATTAAACACTATAGGGAACACTTTCCCTACTTAGTTGTGCGGTAGACATTGAGCACTAGGGGAGACATTCACTACTTAACCATCATAGGGTAGACACCGAACACTAGTCCTCTGAGATCATATATATGGTGTGAAGTTCCTCCGCCAACTACTCAGCCTCAGCTCGTTCACCCACATCATCATCAATCTCCAACTCTTCATCTCCCTCTCTAATAACTGTGCCCGGCTCTCTCACTTTGCCACTCCCTACATTGGCTCCAGGGCAAGAAACTATATGAAGTTTGTTTGAGCAATGGGTGTCTAGACATACAATCAGACTTGAGTAATGCTCTGATTAATCCGGAGGGTGGTGCCTGCAGTGCGCCCGGATCGTGATCGCTGCTCAAGCAGGATCAAACTTGTTTCTGATTGAACAGAACAGTGTTCAACTTGAACGGAGCAGTGTTCAAACTGCTACGTGACAAAAATAGGGCCGCTGCGAGGCTCGAACCAAGGACCTCACGGATTCGGGGCAGGAAACAGGAGATGAGCATAACCACTCGTCTAAGGAGGCATTGCACTTTTGATCTGTCATACAGCTATTGGCCCTTTCCCCGCAACATTCAAAAGCTTATGTATGTGTTCAATTGAGTTAAGTTGGTCCTCTACAAAGCACCAGTGGTTAGTAGACCTGTATTATGTACAGAAAAATAAGAATTCACAAGATTTAGATGGCTGTTGACTGTCAATCATGGAGCCTGAATCCTAAGCTCTTGCCAATGGGAGATCTTTACCTATTCAAACAGCGGGAGTCGAGCCAGGTCCTTCTGCCATGACCCTGGAGCTGCATTAATTTCTCTAGGAGTGGAGCTGCCCTGGGTAGGTGAGGTAAAGTTGAACACAATTTATGCAATTACATGAGTGGTGAGTTCGGAGACCGGTGTGAGCTATCATACACTCCCTCCGTGGCTGAAAAGGGCAAATACACACTATAGAACAAGCACGGAAAAAAGAAGCTAACGAGCACACGACGTGACCTTGAATCGAACAAGGGTCTCACATTTAAAGATTATGTGTCGTCCTACAGTAAATGTGCGCGTTACCGGTTACACCACCAGGTCTACCACTACAACCACCGCCAATCGCCATGGTCCTCACATAAACCAACAATCGCCACAATGAATACGGAAGCCCTTGGTTCGATTCAACTTGCAGCAGAAGTGCTCATTCCTTGCAAAAGAAGGCAACTGTCAGGCCATGAGTAATCAAGGTATCAGGAAGCCGCAGAGGAGGCAAGTATTGTACCAAGTTACAGAGTACAGAAATTGGGTGCCACGGACAAAGCCGTGGATATCGAGCTACGGAAGGAGGCACGAGCTACAGAGTACGGAAATTGGGTGCCACAGGCAAAGACATAACAATTTGTGAGTTAGGTATCTCCTTCAGCGCACGGAACAGCATGGAGATCCACACCGCGAGGCAAGGAGGAGGGCAGTGTTGAAGGGGTCCGTGGACGGATGAGGAATAAGGCCACATGTGGCGGTTGGAAAAGAATTAGTATAAAAGCAGGAACGTTCATAGAAGAATGCATCTTATTACCTCCCACTGCTCACACCTAAGCTACTCCCCTCGAGCGCACAGGGTGAGAGTCTAGTCGGAGGCTTGTCTGTAGTACTTCTGGTTCAATAGAACGGGCCAGAGGGAATTATAGAAACATTGGTGGTGATAGCGCACGTGGTTGTAGAACATGCGGCAAACTTCTAAACGGCCAGCAGCCCAACTTAGCTGTGTGTAACCGTTGGCTTGGGCCTCAAACACAGATCCGTGCACAGAGTACCACACCCCATCGTTGCGGAAGGCTTATCCAATTCGATTATAACCACTCCACAATTCATTCTTGCCATTTCACCCCACGCACATCCACAGAATTAAAAAGCCCTGGCCGTACCACCACAGTGTAGAGAAAAACCCAGGTTACGAAGGATCACACTATAACCTGTACGTGTTGTGTTCAACAGTTCTGAATACACTGCTTGCCCGAATTATATGAGGCAAGGAGATAAGGAAAAGGACCATATAGCTTTCCTGGAAGGCTAGCCCCCAACGAGGAACCTAGCGAAACTGTTCATTCCCCGTACGGCTTTGACATAAATAAAGGTCACAAGTTCTTACTTGTTCATGTCTTTGAGGCTAACCCAAATTCCTTAGAGTGGATCTTCTAAGTCCTTTGATGCGTGACATATTGCAAGAGATGTGTTTCCATTGTATAGTACTTGCAGGTCCCATGTAAAGCTGCTCGATCGACTTGCAGCGGTATGTACTTTCCGCTGACTAGTCCAGCTGGCTCCCAATTAGCCATTGCAACTTGAAGTGCCAAAGTGCTACACAGCCAGGGCTGCTGTTAGTGTTCCGATGCACGTGTCTGAAGTTGTAACTTGCGGAAAATTGAATTTTCACTAGTGTTCATTTGCACGGCTTATCAAAGGATTTGGCCAAACCCGCAGTATTACGGGTACGGGTGCGGTAGCTGATTTCCTTAACCCCGTAAATACCACAACCCGCAAAAGGAGTGTACCCGTAATACTGCAGTAATTTAACCATGACCGAAAAGAGTTCTAACAGATTTGAACACAGAACCTCAGGAAAGCAGCACAAATATCAGTTCAGAGAATAGCACAGTTACACTAAGGAGACATTATATAGCCCTCAGATAGCTGGGATAGCTACAAGCACACCTCAGACTAAATCATTTTTTAGTGATTTCCTCCTCAATCAACAAGGAGTGAAGTTGAGAGTCTGCTCTTTTCTGAAACATTGACTTCACTTGCCTTGTAAGTCTTGTGAGACAGCAGATGAGATGTAATTGAGGCCCCAGCACTGTGAATACTGTGTAGGTTCCCACGGGTCAGTGTAGGTATGCGTAGATGACTATGCATGCCCTGTCTAGCCGACTACGCGCAATCTATTTATAGGTTCCCACGGCTCTGCGTAGGCGACCTAAACTTACCATTTGTAGTTGAGTATAGGTGAGTCTAGCTACCTACACTGGCCAATTGCCTCCAACCAGTCCTTTCTGAGTGTGTGTGGCCCTCCGCCGGTCGTTGTGTCATCAAAAACAAATCAAGTTTAAGCTCTCGCTTGCCCTGTGGCGTGAAAATAGCCACTCACGATCTCGTTTTTATGGGGACTATTGACCTACAATGGGTCTTTCCCGCTCAGTGTAGGTGCCTACACACCGATGCTTTCCTACGCAGACTCGCGAACAGCTAGCCATACCTACACAGACCTCCACTCACCTCCACTCAGCTACAAAAATTCTGCGTAGTCGCCTAGAAATAGTGGTCTTTGTAGCTATGTGTAGATCACCTACACTGACCTATGTCTAGGGGATAGCGGAACACAGTGACAGTATATAAATGCGAGACTCTCTTTCGACTTGAGGTCAGGCCATATCTACTGCTGATGGTGTTTACCTCTTCTTTTTTCCGTGCTTGTTCTATAGTGTGTATTTGCCCTTCTCAGCCACGGAGGGAGTGTATGATAGCTCACACCGGTCTCCGAGCTCACCACTCATGTAATTGCATAAATTGTGTTCAACTTTACCTCACCTACCCAGGGCAGCTCCACTCCTAGAGAAATTAATGCAGCTCCAGGGTCATGGCAGAAGGACCTGGCTCGACTCCCGCTGTTTGAATAGGTAAAGATCTCCCATTGGCAAGAGCTTAGGATTCAGGCTCCATGATTGACAGTCAACAGCCATCTAAATCTTGTGAATTCTTATTTTTCTGTACATAATACAGGTCTACTAACCACTGGTGCTTTGTAGAGGACCAACTTAACTCAATTGAACACATACATAAGCTTTTGAATGTTGCGGGGAAAGGGCCAATAGCTGTATGACAGATCAAAAGTGCAATGCCTCCTTAGACGAGTGGTTATGCTCATCTCCTGTTTCCTGCCCCGAATCCGTGAGGTCCTTGGTTCGAGCCTCGCAGCGGCCCTATTTTGTCACGTAGCAGTTTGAACACTGCTCCGTTCAAGTTGAACACTGTTCTGTTCAATCAGAAACAAGTTTGATCCTGCTTGAGCAGCGATCACGATCCGGGCGCACTGCAGGCACCACCCTCCGGATTAATCAGAGCATTACTCAAGTCTGATTGTATGTCTAGACACCCATTGCTCAAACAAACTTCATATAGTTTCTTGCCCTGGAGCCAATGTAGGGAGTGGCAAAGTGAGAGAGCCGGGCACAGTTATTAGAGAGGGAGATGAAGAGTTGGAGATTGATGATGATGTGGGTGAACGAGCTGAGGCTGAGTAGTTGGCGGAGGAACTTCACACCATATATATGATCTCAGAGGACTAGTGTTCGGTGTCTACCCTATGATGGTTAAGTAGTGAATGTCTCCCCTAGTGCTCAATGTCTACCGCACAACTAAGTAGGGAAAGTGTTCCCTATAGTGTTTAATGTCTACCCTACGATGGTTATCCTGCATGCATGTCTCCCTTAGTGTGGCATGTCTACCCTACAATGGTTATCCTGCAAGCATGTCTCCCTTAGGGTTGCGTGTCTACCCTACGGCGGACAATGGGTATCAATGTCTCCCTTTGTCTACCTGTGACGGTTAACGGGTATCGATGTCTCCCTGTCTACCTCTACTAGGTAAATGTCCCCTGTGAAAGGGTAAACGTGTCCCCCATGTCTCCCCTGGGTCCCTCTTGGGTTCCCTGAGGGGGGACATTGACCTGCGGGGGTCTTACTTGGACCACAATTAGGGGGGACAATTGTGGTCTAATATGATTTGTTATGTGGGATTAGCAGGTGGTCCAACCTTCCTATTTAGGCCACGGGTGTTGAGTCAAAATCGCCTGATATGGGTGTTGGCGTTGAGTTCTGTATTTGGATATGTGGAAGATTTGAAGTCGGAAGGATAAGCACTGAGACTCAGTGTAACTCAGACAGTAATAATGTATACTCTGAATGGAACTAGAGTGAACTTAGACTTAGTTAGTGGGAGTGGGACATCCCATTGAGAAGTGGGACTTCCCATGATGAAAATAAGAATGGGACATCCCATTGTGGTTAATACGATGGGACGTCCCACAGATAGAAAAATAAAAGTGTGTGGGATGTCCCATGGGAGATAGGTGTGGGACGTCCCATAGGGTGAAAAAAATGGGATGTCCCACATCATGAGTGTTGTGGGACGTCCCATACGAAAATAATAGTGGGATGTCCCACTAGTTCAGGAAAATTTGAGTGGTTAACCACCTTAACAAACCCACCCCCGGTGCAATTGGTGAATGTATGCCCCTGCTACAGCCATTTTGGTGCTGGGGGCCGAAAAACAAAAGTGCGCAGATACCCCTGATATTGCACCCAAGCAATAGCCTTGAGGTATACCACCCTAACGGGCCCACCCCCCGCCCAATCGGTGAACGTATGCCCCTGCTACAGCCATTTCGGTGCTGGGGGGCCAAAAAACAAAAGTGTGCAGATACCCCTGATATTGCACCCAGCGATAGCCTTGAGGTATGCGGTTCTAATGGGCCCACCCTCAGCCCAATCAGTGCATGTATGCCCCCGCTAGAGTGATTTCGGTGCTGGGTGCCAAAATGAAAGTGGAAAATGAAAGTGCTCAGATACCCCTAATATTGTGCCCAGTGGTAGCCTTGAGGTGTGTGGTTCTAATGGGCCCACTCCCAGCCCAATTGGTGCACGTATGCCCCCGCTAGAGCAATTTTTGTCCAGCTGATCCCCCTGTACAGTGGAAATTTGATATACTCCGATGCGGCCCATACCATGCCCACAGAACGTCCACCCAATGGGCTTTCAAATGAGCCTACTCCCAGCCAAAACGGTCCACAGATCGTTCCAATATACCCCTTTTGATTCTCTGATCTGAGGCCAAACAAGCTGTCAGATGGGCTGTCAAGCGTGACATTCATCAAAAATTTTCTCTGCCTGCGGTGCACTAGGACATCCCATTTGCTGGGACTTCCCACTTCCCACTCGAATGCCGGGACATCCCACTCAGAGTGGGATGTCCTGCTATTTCACCCCCATTTTGGGTGTTTTAAGTCAGGGAAGTAATTGACCTAAGATGGTCTACTTCAGGGT